CCCCATCGCCCGCCCCCGCGCCTCCTGCCCGGGAAGGATACGCTCCAGGTAGTAGGCGCCCTCGGCGGCCACGGCGTCCGCCGCGTCCCCGGCTGCCGTCCAGCCCACGCCCCAGGCTTCGTCCAGGACCCGCAGAGCGGAGCCGGGCGGCCCCGGCGGAGCAGCCATGCCGGCCCCCGCCCCAGGCTGGCCCCCACGCCGTCGCTCGGGGCAACCGGGAGGACGCTTCCCGCCGGCCCCGGCCGGCTCTCGCGAGATCCCCGCCCCGGGCGCGGACGGGCTGCCCGAGTCCGAGGCGCGGCTGCGGCCCTCTGCGCTTCCCCGGTTACCGTGGCAACGCTGTTGCCTGGCGACCCCGAGAGCCGGGACGCGGCTCTGAGAGCTGAGAAGATGCGAGAAGCAGTCGGCTGGGATTTCCTTCTTGCCAAAGCAGCTTGGTTTTCTTTTCCTTTCTTTCTCGTTTCGTGTTCTTTCCTAAAGTAGCCTCTGTCTTGGTTGTGACGTGCCCATTGTCAGTCCCCTAATTTTAGACCGTTGTCGAACCCTGAGTGTTCCCAGAGGAAAACGCGGGAAAAGAGGAAGACAGGACCTAAGAAAAAAACCAAAAAATAGGTCTAGAGATCATAATTGAAAGTCTGACCTAGGGGAGCTGCCAGACGCTACTTGGAAGCTCAGCAGTAAAGAACGAGGGTGGCCACCTTAGCTCCATTCTTGTGACCTTTCTTGTGTGTATCTGGATATCTGTTTTGACTTTGGTTCCATACACAGCGACTTGGTATAGCATTTGTAGCACTGATTCTTGCCAAGGTAAAGCCACTTTCATATAAATATCTGTATATGAGCTACAAATGGCCTTAACATGTCTAATCGATTATATATGTCCAGTCACGTGTAGTCCTATGGCTATGACAGGATCTTCCTCAGATTTATGGTGTGTGTGCATCGGAAGAATCTTCCAAGCCCTTTTCCTTGCAAATTATTTTTCATTCTGTATTTCACGATGAACACTGGCTACCAAACAGTGACTCCATAAAAGCCCCTATTTATTACCAAAAAACAGCGGTAACTTCCTAAGGAGGTGCTTGAGAGCCTGGCTGTTGGAGCCACAAAGGCTGTATTCAGAGCGTTGTTCCACCACTTACTAGATCTGAAACCTTGTGCAAACTACTTAATGTCCATAGGCCTTACTGTCCTCAATTGTAAAATGAGGATATTAATGTTGCCTACCTCAAAGTGTTGTGGCAAGGGGTAAAACAATATAAAGCATTATGAACTTACCAAGCACATAGAAGACACTAAGAAATATTAGCTGGTATTTCTATTAAATTTCATTGATTTTGCTTTTTTTATTTTTGGAATAAACAGAGGACACAATGAGACACGGTAGTTAGATAATTCGTTCCTGGTATGTGTTCTCTTACTAACTTACTCTTTGTCCTTTGCCTTCTCACATGAAACGTTTCCTGGGTACTTGTTAAATGCAGGGAACAAACTATAGGAGTTTGAAAATATAGGAGAAGATTCTGAGACTGGGAAAATCCCCTGCTTTTAAAAGAAGGCTGTTCTTTGTTTCAGAAGGGGACATGACTTTAACCCTCAAAGCTATTTCCTGTAAACCTAACCCTGAAAAAATTTAAATAACATGGGTAAAGAGTTGTCAGGGCCTTGCATTTTTGGCAAAGCAAAGCATAGCATATAGGAGCAAGAAAGAGCCATAGATGAGGGTCTCTCAGAACAATGAACGTTTACTTTTATTTATTTTGTCTGTTACAACGCTCACTTGTCTTCTTCTTAGCTTCCAGATGCAGTATGTAGCCTTCTGACTCTTCTGATTGACTTTAGTTAACTCAAGCTCTTTGAGCCTTAGTTTTCTATTCTCTAAGCCAGAGATGATGTGAACACCTACCTTACTAAAATGTAAAGAGTAAACAAAATAAAATAAATAAAAAGTACTTATTGTGGCTAGTATATCATGTTTTCAATAAGTAATTGTTAATAAAATGTGCTTAAGATATTGAATGAATATGCCATGCCTAAATTGGATATTATATTTGTACAAAGTGAAACTATAGGAATGGTTTTAAGATAAAATGTAAACATTTTGAGAAATATTCGGCACTCAAAAAATGGAAAAGGTTTAATAGGGTCATTTAAAATAAATAAACTATGGCCAGTATCCACTGCTTAAATAGAGGAGTAATGGGAAAGTTTCTTAACAAAAGAGCTCAAAAAATAAGAGAAGTCTTTTAACTCGAAGAAATATCATTAGCCATAGTTCTCAAAAAAAATAAGTCTAACTCTATATAAAGGTTTAAAACAATCAAAATTTTAATGTAGAGTTACCAATTTGATTATGTCCATTTCATGGATTTCAAATTTAAAAGTCACCTAGGTTATTCATGGCTCATCTACAATTTGAAACACATTTCACAGGTTTGGTACTTTTAAAATTTCAAATTAGAACCAATTTTAACATATTTTTAACTTTTTGATTTCTACAATGGATGAGAAATATTCTAAAAGACAACGAAATAAAAGCAAAAAATAATCTTAGCAAATATAAACAGAACCAATAATTGCCTTAAGGTAAAAATGAGATGTAAACTTTTATGGGAACTGCTAACATCTGAAAACTGATGTGTCTTTGTAAGGAATGAATTTGAAAATAAGCATTACGTTGGCATTCTTATTTTGATAATTGCTGGCGTAATTTAAAAAAGATGCGAAAGCCGTACTGAGACAAAGACAAAAATTTCAGATCATAGTTTGAGTTATAATGCATTTTCATCCTATAGTATATTTTTAAATATATTGTACAAACTTTCTCGAAGTGGAAAAAAAGTCCCTTAACATTTCTACAAATGAACAAAAATCTGTCTGCTTTCCCTTTGAATGTGTTCCTGAAAGAGGAAAATAAAGAAAACCAATGGAGACAGTAAAAATGAAACTACAACCACAAAGAACAACAAATTTTATCTCCTCCCAGTCTAAATGCTTCATTTGTGTAAAAGTGAAATTATTTTTAAGAGCAAAACCAGAAAGGAATCTGACAACGGATGTACTCTTTGTATTGTAGCTTTAAAGCAGAAAATAATCATATGTAAAAATATAGTAAAGTACCATTCAATTTTCAGAAGTCTTGAGCATTCATTTGCTAAAGATAGAGCCCAAGCTATTTACTGATGCATCTTTTTATAAAAGTAGCTGTGTTATTTTCTTTCAAAACTTCACAGTAATTTTAAGTGGTAGCCAATTTTAGAATTTCTGAATTCATAGAAGTAGTAGTAATTGACTATGATGGAAAATTATCATCAACCATACAGCATATATTTTCCCTTTTTCACTAACAACCATTTGAAAATCTAGTTCTCCAGTGTTCTGAGCCCATGTGGTTCAGCAGGGTCAATTCCTCTGTCTCTTGTGAGGAGCATACGACCGAGGTTTAACACAGAAGAACCTATCATTTCTCTTGGCTACAGTGATCAATTCTGGAGTTGGTGTGTGCCCTAAAATGAGGAAAATTTGATTTAGAATGTGTTGGAAAGTTAGGGAAAAGACTCTTACTCTGTCCCTGGGGACTTAGATCTGGGCTTGCTACAGTTTGCAAGTGTGAAGAAAATTTCTATCTAAGAATTGAGTCAATGTGGACAACCTGAATGAAGAAAGAGAAAACTTAAGCCCAGATAAAATCACTTGAACCTCTATTATACATGCATACATTTCTTTGTTCTGTCAGCTGAGAAGGCCTAGAAGAAACAACACCCCCATACCAATGAATATTCTAGATCTTGGTTTTTAATATCATTTTCTAATATAAAGAATGAGGGCTCCCTGCAGAAATGATTGGTTTTTAGGGCTAGGCTGGGAATATACAAGATGACCCTGGAGAATTTCACAATGCCGGAAAGTTAAATAGTCCCTCCCTACTAAAAATCTCACAATGATGATGGTATATCAAGAGGACATAGGAGTCATCTGAAAGAGTTCCCACTGGACAAAGCAGGGACAATTTGAGCAACAAAATTAATAAAGCAGTACTGAAGTGTAATTTAAAGTGTAAAATAAATGTATTGATGAGTCCACAATAATATAAATAAATGGTTAAATAAATAATTGGAGAAGAATGAACAGACACATCTCCTGTGAAGAAATTCAAATGATTTATGTAGATACTCTACATTCCAGGGGCTGAAGCATAGCCACCCACTTGTAAGTATTGGCTACCTATGTGAGTTCCTTCCAAAGAGCACATTGTGGAAAGAGGGGAAACAACCAGTAGACAAAGCTGATAAATACTACCTCAGCCAGGTGTTCAAGATAGATATCAACAGTGACAAGTCAGGTTGATACTATGCACCTCTGGTATGATATGATGAGAATGGCACTTCACCTCTGTAGTCCAACTCCCCAAAACCCCAAAACACAGAATAACCATTAAAAAATATCAGAAAAATATCAACTCAAGTATACTCTATAACATACCTTACCAGTACTCCTCAAAACTATCATCATCAAAACAAGGAAAGTGTGAGAAACTATCACAGTCAAGAGGCACTAAAGAAGCGTGCTGACTGAATGTAATATGGGATCCCAGAAAAAAATAAATGAGCATTACATAAAAACTAAGGCTGTCTGAAATATGTTATGGGCTTTTAAAAATAATAATGTATCAGTACACATTTTAAAATAATAATGTGTCAATTCATTAGATGTGACAAAATACAATATTACTATAAATAATACTATATTATAATACAGTATTAATATGTAAATAATTATAAATAATATATAAATATTATAATGCAAGATGTAAATAATAGGGAAAACTGAGCATGCGTATATGGAAACTTTCTATACTATCTTTGCAACTTCTTGGTAAATATAAACTATTCTAAAATTTAAAAATTATGTTCAAAAATTTACTTGAGTCTTGATTATAACATTGCCTTAAACAGGCCTCATCCATTAACCTTTGTTTTCTTACTTTTTTTAAACAATAAATTCCTTTTGCTTAAGCAAGTTTCTGTTGGTCTTCCTGTCACTGGCAATTCCACACAACTTACCTGACAAATTAACTCTATATAGAATCTGTATTATTTTCATACCATGTGAAAATGTATCCTATTGTTAAGTTTTTTTCTAAAAATATCTGATATATAACAACGTGG